CTGGTCTATCCTACAGCGCTTTTTGTAGCAATTCACATTACATTTGGCAAATTTTACGATGCCCCCAGCTCTCTGTCTCTCCCCTCCCCAGGCAAACTACAAAACATAACTTTTCATTTTGGTTGTCTGGTCTGTTTTGGAGGTTAAAAGGTGTTCAGTGAGTAGTGGAACAATTTAAGACTTTTTTTTCTCCTGTGGATTTATAGGGCTGTCACGGTGCTGAGGGCTGACTTTAAGTGCATTCTTGTAATACTGAGGAAAATGAGCACATCTTACTAGACCTCGGAGAATCCACTCGCACCAGCACTGCTATGGATACCATAATCACAGGAAAAAACTTCACAGTTTGCATGTATTAAAACCCAGCATCTCCATATAAGAGAGAGAGAGGCTGAAGACTGGCTTCTCCGATGCCCAGCAAGGTACGGTAATTCTTTCCCTTACAAGGAGGATTTGCAGAGACCCTGTTCAGCTGCATATTTTCACAAAGCTCACAGCAGCAGCTCGCTACCTCCGAGGCTGAAATGTTCCAAAGAGGGTTTTCTGGTTGGTGTCAGGGAAAAGAGGCAGGTGGGGAGATGTGCAGGGAAGAAAGGGCTTGGAGAAGCAGGTCCTGCCTCTGACCGTGAGCAAGGCAGCAGGCTGGCCGTGGGGCAGGGATGAGCGCGAGTGGTGTTTGCGCTCAAGCTGTTTGCTGAGCGCTTTGATCTCCGTGGGTAGGAGATGTTCCTCCCTGGCCACGTGCCCTTCAAAGCCCAGGCCGAGGTACCGGCTCCTCCACCAGCTTCTGCTGTCCCATCTCCTCCCTCCCTGGGTGAGGACGGTCGTGGGGTGCTGCCAGCCCCAGCCATGGGGCTGCATGGGGCAGCCTGCTGGGGTGGCCAGGGAGGGGTCCCCCTCTGTGGAGCCACCCCATGCTCTGTGGTGATTCTCCACACCCTGGTAGGACAGGGAAAGGGCTTTGCGATGAGTTGCTTTAATGCTGCCACCTCCTTTTCCTCCTGCCTCAAAGAGACAAACCGTAGCTTTGAAGCCTTTGAAACAACATCAAAGGATGGAGATTTCCAGAGGAGCTCAGGGGAGCTGGGTGCACACGTCCCATCGATGGTCAACAGGAGGAGGGTGCTTAATTCTTGTAGGAGCTTTGAAAAGCTTGATCCTACGTGTATGTCCTTGCTGGGGAGGAAGTGAGGAGCAGTAGTTGGCAGCTCTTTGTCTTTGTAACAGGCAGATAGTGCCTTTTTTACTTTTTTTTTTTTTTTTTTTACTGCTGGGGGACTGCAGGGGCAGCATGTGCCTGTCAGGATCATCTCACTGCCACCAGCGCCGGTGCCTCCCGCTGCTATCAGCAGTGCTGGCACCCTGAGGTGCAGACGGGACTTGCTGAGAGCTGTAAGTGCTGCTTGGCCCGGAGGGACATGCCAGCGGGCAGGATCGTGGTGCGGGGCCGTTACTGGCACCTGACCCTGGGACAGCCCCACTCAGCCCGTGCTGGACATGGGAGGAGGCTGGGGGCTGCGGCCAGGGCTGGCTTCGACCCTCTCCTGGAGAAAGGCGAAGGAAACTTGGCCTCAGCCTTGCTCGTGTGCTATTTTGGTTCAAGGTAATAACAGGAACTGTGCTGTAAATAAAAATAGACAAGTGAAGAATTTCCCGCGTCTGTCTCCAGTCATTTGTTTCCTCGGGAGGAATTATCCCGCTCCAGAAGCAAATCCTTCTTGTCTGCTTCTTGGAAACTGGGACAATAACACTGAAGGGGAAGAAGAGATTACAGAATCATCACGAGGGGTGACAGTGGCACATCACACACCCGGTGCCAAAAATGCATCCTCTGAAGCAAATAATAGCCCTGCTCGCCGGGGCTCGTCCTGACAACGTGACCGCTGGCAGCAGCTGCTCCTGGCGCAGGGTGGGTGCCCTGTTATCTCGTGGCTGCCTGGGGGACGATTCTGCATTCCCCTTGGTTGGCTCCGTGCATCCCTCCCCTCTGGCCCATCACCCAAATTTCAGTGGCTGCCAACAGCCACCGAGCGTTCCTCCCGCAGCAAGGCAGGGGTGCACGGGCTGCCTCCCTGTCTTCTTTCACACACAAAAATGCTTATTATTCTGTCCTTTTGGTGCAAAGGCTGAATTCCTGGGCATACTTTTTTCTCCTCATAGGAACCAGGTATCCAACTCTACCCACTGAATTCCCACAGACACATGGCTCTGCTGAGTGCTGGAAAAATTGACCCTAACATCTTGTCCCACTCTGTTTGCCCCTCTGATGGTGCTAATGGGTGCTTGTTTGCTCCCTTTCAAATTAGTGTTCTGGCTGTTTGAGGAAATCCCAGGTCACTAGGAAATGCAAAGGCATTTTATGAGGAGTCCTAGCAGATGCTTTGGAGAACCTGCAGATGTGCTTGGTGAAGAATGTGTTGCAGTCAGCTGGAGGGCCACCAAGCTGACCTGAAAACATCTCCCCTCCAGAGGGTTTCGTGTCCAGTGCATTCCCCTGCTTCCCACTCCGGTCAGGGGCATGCACAGAGCCAGTGACTTGCTGGGGTGGGATTCCTGGTAAAGCATCAGAAGCTCACCCAGTGTCAAATGCTGATGTTTCTATTCACAGCTACAGCTATGGGGTGGCTCACCCCACTGTTACTGCCTGTGCAGAACATGAAGAACAGGGCAAGTCTGCTCTGAGAAGCGAATGCAGGGCCTTTTTCCCCCCAGACTGTAAGCAATAAGATTGCATTTTCAAATCCCTTATTTCTGAGAAGTTTAATTATGCTTCAACTAAAACCCAAATGTCAAAACATGGAAGGCAACGTGTCTTCTTTCAAAGTGCATTACCTGTTTTCTATAAAAGCCAGTAATTGATACCGGGGACAGAGCTGGTATGTTGAAGCAAGAAGGGAGGGTAGGCTCTTGTTTCTGCCCCCAAATCCCTGCCACTTTATGATCAAACTTCTGGTCAAAGTTTACAGAGTTTGAAACTGCAGAGCAGAGAGAAATGCAAAGCAGCTTGTGAAAGAGAGGTGCGAAACTGAGGGTGCGAAAGAGCAGATCTGTCGGGTCAGCTTTCTCTGTCTGCTGAGATGAAACCCACAACAGATCAGGAAACTCGGCCAGGCAACATTTGGACTTCAGGTTTTAGAGGGACTTGTGTGAACATGGTCACCGTCCCTGTGGGAACAGGATACTGTGGGGGGAGAGATTTGTGTGCCTTGTGTGAAACGATGCGAGCGGAGATGGCCAGCCCTGAGGGGCTGAGCCAGGCCTGAGATGCCCACGTACTGCCCTCACTGCTTCTGCTGATGGCGGTGGATGTCTGGAGGATTACGTGCCCGGTTCACACCCTGTCACCTCTGGCTGCATCTCTGACAGAGTGGGCCTGGCGCTGAGGTCACCTAAACAAACGTGAAGCTCACCCAGGCTTCTTTCCCAGGCTGCCTTTCCGGGGAGCAAAAGACAATTGAGGCTGACAGTAAATGCTGCAGGAGAAGTGGGTGGTGCTTCTAATTTAGGGCTGCTCATCTAATTCAGCGCACATTGGCTGGGTAAAGCTTAATGCGGACAACGCGGAGAGGAGCCGTGCTCATCCATCGCCTCACTGAGGCCTGGGTTGTCAGGCAGCTGCTGCTACCTCTGCTCGGGAGAGGTTTACAACACCATACCACTTTTATGCTTGCCAAACGTTTCCAGGAGAAACTCTTTATATTTAAAGAGTTTTCTGAAGTTTATGATTAAAAATGTGCTCGGTTCAAAGCTTAGTCCTCTGAATACTAGGCTTTTTTTTAATCATGGCATGAGTCTGGCCTAGCACTTAAATGCATACTTAAGTTTTAGTGCATGCCTAATAGGGTTAAAAACAGCTTTAGGAGTGTCCTTTGTTGCCCTATCGAACAGGCACAAGCTGAAGTGTAAATGTAGTTGTCTTGCTGAATCAGAGCAAAGTGATAATACGCTCATACTAGCTGAGACCGAGCGGTGAACTGCCTGTGTTAACAAGGTGAGGTTTCAGAGTGCAGGTGACATCAGAGGACGTGGAAACCTAATTTTATTAGTGCTTTCTGCACCTTGACATAGCTGCAAGCAAGAGCCTGATCTGAAACAGGAGGATCCTGAAACATAGCCTGGAAGGGACGGGGCCTTTCGCAGCTCCGCTCGCCTTCTGTGCGGGCACATCGTGGGGAGGGTTTCTTCTTTCTCATGTGTGCCGTCACACACCTTGCCTTCTCATGATAGGACAAAGGGGCTACCAAGAACAGAAAGTAGGACGTTTGGCCTCTCTCCTCTATGGGAGGTGCAATGCAGATTGGCTTCCTGAGAACTAGGACAGCACCTCCAAAAGTAGAACAGCTGGTCACCCCGTTCGTGTGTGCCTTGCCTTACAAATGTATCCTCTAAAGCTCAAGCTTTAAGAGACATTTTTGGCCTACTTAGGGAAATGTTTTCTGAAAATAGGGGCGGATACACTGGCACAGACCAAAACCTCTGCTTTCCCTTTGGAGTGCAGTCAGAGCTGGTGAGCGGAGGAGCTGCATGCTGGGCAAAGAGGTGCCCTGCACCCCTTCTTGCATATCGAGCGGTACCACGGTGACAAGAGGAATTTGCTTTTCACAGGCAGGACGTGGATGGATGACATTGCTCTACAGTGTTAGATGAAGCTTTACTGTGACAGAGAACTGTTCCTAAATCAACCTTCTGTGTGTGTGTTATGCGCACATGCGCTTATAAATGTGTTAGACCAGAAGCAAAACTCTGACTTTCATTGAAGTGATACATAGAAAAAGTCCACAGAAGGTTTCATTGCCCTTCACCGAGTTCCTTCTCTAAGTACAATTAGGTCCACAATGTGTACAATCCTGCCTGAGTGCTGGGAATGCCAGCAGGACAGCAGCACCTTGCCCTGGTCAGCTGGACATGCCTGGGAACCGTGCAGCAGTCTCTGTGGGTAAACAGGAGCACGGGGTACAAAGCAGGTCAGCTAGCACAGCTCTCAGAAAGCCACCGCTGTCCTCGCTGGACAAGGGAAACACCTCCACAGCTCTCTAAGCACAGCTCTTAATGTTTTTAGCTGGTTGCAGCCTGGGCTAATCCCATGTGGGTTTCTCACCTTGAGCCAGAGGTCGCTCAGGCTGGCTGTGCTGCTCTGAAGTCTGGATTCATTCTTTTGGGACTCGTTGTTACTGAAGTCAGGTATGAGGCTGAATCTTAATGGTTAGTGAGGGAGGCTAATAGAAAGGGAAGCCTTCCAATTTTTTCCTCCAGTAAGTGTGCTATGATAATGAAGTTGGCGCCTGGTGGCTCCAGTTGTAGTGGAAGCTTGCTGCCTTGAGAACAGGTCTTTAATTCACATGAAGAGGTGTTTCATAAGCCATATGCGATGCCCTGCTTTGAATATTAATACCCAGAATGCTTATTCAGCTCACAGCCGTTTCAGAGAAATGCTGTGTCTCTGTGAAGCCAGACTGAGCCCTTGGGTGCTCCATTTTTTTTTTAATTTATTTATTTTTTTTTTCAAAGACAGTGTCAGGTCGTCTTGTATTCTTAATTCAACAGCCTTACTCAGCCTAGAAGTTTCTGAAGCCATTGTATTAATGTTATATAATATTAAATGATTATAGATTTAATGAAAATGCAAGAGACACTACTACAGGACAGCGGGTTTGGTCTACTTAGTCAAGTGACCTGTTAGTTACACACCTCCTAAAGTTGCTTCTTCTTCTACAGGGCAACCCCTTCTAAAATAAAACAACGCAAGGAGGCAGTAACTGTGCTGGTGAATGCTCATGGCTTCAAATGCCTTCAGCACAGGCTGGGGAATGAATATGCACTGTGAACTGAGATACATGCTAGCAGTGTCAGCCATGCAGTTTTTTTTTTTATTTTTTTTTTTTTTTTTTTTTTAATGGATATTTGTTGGTAGGTCTAGGGAAATTACCATGACAGAGCCTCTGCTGTAGCACTCCCTTCCACCAAGTGCCTGTTCACCTTCATCCTGGGCTGGGGAGCATTGCAGCGGCAGGCTTGCAGTGAGTTGGAGGTCGTGGAAGTGGATGTGGACAACCGTGATTATTTTTAACATTAAGGCACACCTGTGATTATGTCTGGGGAATACTCTTTGAGCTGCTAATGCCAGGCCTTGCTCGTACTCCAACCCAAGCAAGCATGAGCTAAGCCATGCCAGCTGCCTTGTGTGTGGGGGGATCCTTCCCACATAACCAGACATCATGAGCCATGAGTGGGTTGTCACGTCTCTCCACTGATCACTACAACTGCTTTGCTCTCCCCAGTGCTGGGAAGGGATGTGTTTCTCTGAGGGTAGTTCCCACATTTGTATGCGCTCGCATTAAAAAGCAGCGTTGTTATTTCCTAGCTCTCCCTGTGAAGCACTCTGGCTCTCTCGTGACCAGTCGGGCACAGCACACACTTGTAATACAGCAGTCCTGCTCCAGGGCCAGCAAGAGGCAAGGCACGTTTTGATGTGTGAGTGTAGTGGGGGCAGCTAAGTTGTGTCACACGCAGGTGCCTAGTGTTTGCAGTGTATGTACCTGCCTCTGCATTTGTTCCTGCGGTTTTCGTTTGTGTCAGGGAAGCTGTTTAGAATAGGCAGTGATGTTGGAAATGGCCTTCTGGTGGTATATAAATTCCTGGCTACAAAATTTAGGAGATGGCTCAATCCAGTGACACTTCCTTGATACAAACGGCTCTGGCAGGCACAAGCAGTAGAAAGCCAAAGCTAAGAAAGGTGCATTAATATTTTCAAGACACATCTCTGAGTCTTGCGGCATGATAAAGCAGGCAGGCAGTGAATTGAAAGCATAGCCTAGTGTGCAGTGAGGTTTTGTTTCATTGTTCTGCCACTTTCTGCCTCTTGTCTGCTCAGTCGTATGTTGCACCTTACCCTGAAACTCAGATTGTAACTCCTTTTCAGGGCACATTTCATCATGCTTGTACCAGGCCTACCTCAACCTGGAGGTACGCTTCAAACACCTGAAGACATTCTGGCTTTTTATCCCCGCTGAAACCAATGAAAATTGTTTTCCATGTCTATGAAATTCACAGACACCATGTCGGGTGTCTGCCAATCTCCAGCACAATTTAAACTCCTGTGCTTAGAGGTATGCTACAAAGCCCAAAGGACTTCAGTCTTCAGTGTCTCCCAGGTACAACGACAGTGTGATATGAGAAGTGAGAAAGCAGAAAATAAATAATGAATCCAACTACCAAGATCGTTACCTGCCCACTGATGGATCCAAGGACTATTGAGAGCCATCCTGAATTTTAATAGCACGTCAGATCACCCATCCCGAATTATAACAGCAGGCTGAGCTGCTCACAGCAAAGAGAGGGAAGAAAACATCGTGTGTGTAGATGGGGGAGAAACATCTCTGAGAGCAACAGGAATCTGCTCCAGCACCCCAGGAGAGAGGCAGGTGGGAAGGGAAAGTGGGAGCTGCGTATGATCAGCCTTTTGAAGACCGTCTCCCACACCTCCCACCTTCCAGAGCCACATGGGGCTGGAGAAGTGGAGAGTGGAGAGGAGAATTTACAGAATCACAGAATTGTAGGGATAGGAAGGGACCTCAAGAGATCATCGGGTCCAACCCCCCTGCCAAAGCAGGTTCCCTAGAGCAGGCTGCCCAGATAGGCCTCCAGACGGGCCTTGAATATCTCCAGGGAAGGAGACTCCACAACCTCCCTGGGCAATTTAGGTCTTCTTTCTCCCTTAGGTGCTCCAGTGGGGTGGGAGATGCACGTAGGGGCTGTCTGACAGCAGGAACACCGAGGAAAGGGAGGGCACAGCTCTGCCAGCGACGTGCCTCCATGTCCCTGGGAGCAGCAGCGGGGCTGCCACACCGTGCTGCCACTGAGGCCTGGCTGTGCCTATGGTGGCTCGTGGCGAACCGGGAAGGGGCAGGAGCAACAAATCTGAGGAGAGGGATTTGTTTTTCCATGCTGAAGTAAGCTCGGAAAGTTGCATGAGGGCGATTTACATGCTTAAGCAGGGTTTAGGCATTTGTGCCCAGCCTTTGTGGTTCATTTCCTCATTCACTCAAACGTATAAAGAGTGAACAAATGTTTGGTAAACAGGAACCTAAGGTTTCAGCGATGAAAAGGCTTTACCCTCGCCCACAGAGCTGCTTGCAGCGTTGGCTTGGCGATGATTTCCAGAAGGCGATGACTTGCCTCCTGCCCGACACGGGGTGCTGCACGCCGTGCTCCAGCCCTCGCCCCCACAGCTTTGCCACTGCGTCCCCCTCCTGCAAAGCCCCTGGTGGGAGGCTTGTCGGGCAGAGCTCCCCATGCCGCCAAGGGATGGGGTGAGGGGGGAAAGCTGACAGCGAGGTGGCCCCTTCGGGTCAGCCTCCGCGAGTACTGGCAAGGGCGAAGCTGGGAAAGTTGCACAGCTGCTGCCCGGGCTCGGTCTGTGAATAACTGGAGAGCTTTCCACCAGCGGGACTGTCGGGCCAGGTATTTGCAAGCACTTTATTCGGTGGTTTCTTTTTAGTGTGGTTGCTGGATGGGGAGGACAGGATAAAGAGAGGAACCTTTCATGCCTCAGCATTCTGCAGCATCCGGCGTTTTCATGAAACCACAAAGGACCTTAAAGAAGAAAGAACAAGCGCTCTGTTTATAGGGATTTAGACGGCCAAAACAAAGAGGGGGCTGTGCTGTTCAGTGATCTCTCGGAGTCGAGGAGTCCAAAGGCACAGGTCCACAGGCTTCGAGGCCAGAGCCCACCCTGCCTGGGCTGCAGCCCGCTGGGAGGCTAGGGGTGATGGCAGCATGTGCTTCTTAATCTCTCTCACTCCTCTCCCCTCAGTGCCCAAGCTGACCAAAGTGCAAAATAAAAGCAACTGTGCAGCACAAACGCTGTGATGTCCTCTTCATGATTCAAACCCAGTGTCCCCGACTGCAGCTCCCAGGCTTGGGGCTGGAGGACAGCAGGGCGTCCTCCAGGAGGAAAAGGCTTGGCCACATGCACTGCTCTCCATGTCCAACCTGAAGCATGTCCAAATCATCTCCCGTTAACCTGAAAGGAAAATCTGGGGCTAAGAATATTTTAGAAGCCTTTGGAAGGGCGAGGACCGAATCAAGTGCTAACGTTTTATTATCTAGCTTTCCTTAACAAGCTCCCCATTCACTGAGCTCCAGTAAAATTTTGAAGTCATACTTTGGGTGTGGAAGAGACCTCATAAATTCTAGTACTTGTGGAATCTCTGAAAATTATTTTCTCCTTGGGTTTAAATAAAGGCATTCTCAGTGAAGAGCATTTGAAGATTTTCCAGGGCAAAGGTGTGGAGATGCAGTCTAAGTAGTCTCAGCAGTTTTCATCAGCTTAGTGGAGAAAGAGCTACACATTGCACAGGGATATTTGTTCCAAAAAAAAAGGTTTGATTAAGAGTCTTGAAGCAGATAAAATATGTTTCTGCCACGACACCTTGCCAGGACAGAAACCCACAAACCATGCTGCAGGACCGGCAGAGCAGTGGCAGGACAAGGCACAGCACTAGGACCAGGCTTGCAAGCCCTGTGTACAGTCGGGGATTCCCACTGAGTGATTTTAGCTGAATACATGTGAATTGTCCTCAGCACTGGCTTTGTGAAAAGTCTGAATTTGCTACTAGCAGTTTCTGTTGCCTCTTGCAGACAGGCATGCTTGTCTGTGGCACTCCTGCAGAATTAATGGGGTGTGTGTGCAAGTGAGTTTTGGATGTGATGCTACACAATTCCACCGCCCACGTGCATGACCTGGAAAGCACACACACACAAATTCAGACCCCTTACTTTAGGTTCCATTTTAGTTGAATTCCTGTAGCAAATGCCAGATGTTCCTTTCTAGCAATGGCACGTAACAAATTATCAGTCAAAGGAATTCCTAAAAGGCTGTGGGATTGACGGGAGGTAACCAGAAGGTCAGTGCTGTCTCCCAGGTTAGCACGGGAGGGATAACCGCAAGTTCAGCAGCATTATCCCAGACTTTGTGCTTTGTCTGGTGGGTCCTGTCAGCTACTTCTAGCTAATACTTCCCCCGTCCTGTCCAGCATCAGGTGGAGTTTGTGTGGGCTTTGGCACCAGCCATTTTAGAGCTCCTGCTTGTCTGAAAGCCCTGGTCAGAAAGTAGATGAATTTTCCAGACCTCCCAGTCGATATTTTTGATAGCTAATTTTCTGTGGATCACATCTTTAGCGTTACCCTGAAATGTATCATGGTGTCTTGTAAGTGCGTTATCACTCCGAGACAACACAAAGTGCTTCAGACAGGCAGAGAGCCAAAAGCTGTCCTCGGATGAATATTTGCAGTTCCTCTTGACTCCCTGGTATCTGAAGGTCAGGTCTGACCCACAGACTCCTACAAAGCCAAAGAGATAAGAGTGCCAAAGAAGTCTTAGGAGGACAAAGGTAGTTATCAGCAATTTCCAGTTGCTTTGTTCTGGTGATGGGGAGGTAAAAATGTGTGTAAGAGGAGACAAAAGGAACACACTGAGCACATCTTGTAGGACTGTATGATCCCTTGGTTTCTAGCTGCCTGAGTGTAAGGTATTTTATCTTACTTTATAAGTGGCTCTGAGCCCCCACGTAGCCCTTTTTGCTAGCGCCAGGACCAATTTTGTCCTTGACTGACTGTACTTTCTTTGCCTCTTCTCCTGACTTTGGCGTTTGGGTCCATCTTGCAAGCTGGCACTTTTGTGCAAGGCTAGAAGGACTTGCAAGAGGCACTGAGGTGGGTTCATCTGCTCTCCCCCAGTTTCAGGACGACCCCTCTGTACGCAGCCCTCGATGCAGACATGCATGAGTCAGCACTACTAAATGCTCTCTGCTAATCGGGGGTGCTGGGCTTGGCCAGCACCTTATGAAACTCAGTCCTATGTGCAGGGGTTGCAAACTATGGGCATGCTGCTCACAGGAGGCTTGAGTTTACCCAACCCTTCATGCAGAAGCTCACGTGAAACCTCTCACAAACTGGAAACAAACCTGGTATTTGCTCTCTGTTGCTGTGCCTTTGTAATCTCGAGCTCTCTGTTCTTGTTGCCAGGTGAGAGCAGGGTGCGAGGTGGCAGAGGCACATGGCGAGCAGGCACAGGTATTGCACAACCCACCTCGTGCTGCTGTGCCTGCTCCCCGTCAGGTTCATGGCCTCTAACAGAAGGCAGTCACCCTTCCTTTCTAAAGAAAAAAAGAAAGCAAAGGATTCATTTTTATGCTTATCTCCAGATCCCAGTCTCCAAACGGTTGCTCTGCCCTGGCAGACAGCCCCTTCTGTGCCAGGCAGAGCTCTGAGCAGCCTGCTTCATCGGGCTGGGAGGGAGCCTGCAGCAGCAAGCACCAGCCCTGCCCAGGAGCGGAGAGAGCCTGGGTTTAAACTGGGGTGTGGAGCGGTGTTATGCTCTGGAAGGGGATAGATTTGCAGCCCCATCCTGAGGGAAGCCTCCCAGACAGCTCAAAAGCACTCCAAAGCAATGACTAGAAAGCCTACAGCCTTTAATAAAAATGAGTTTTGTTTTTTGTTTTTTTTTGTTTTTGTTTTTGTTTTTTTTTTTTGTAGGATTTTTGGGCTAGCAATAACTTCCTATAAAATTGGAGGGAGCAATGTAAAAACCCTGCAGGAGAGGATTTCATTTTCTATTAAACTCCAGAAGGCTTCTCCAGGAGGGGCTGAAGCCATCGCAGGGACGTTTCCCCTTGGGACCACTGGCTTCCTCTGCACAGGACCCCCAGGTAGCCCCCAAATAGCGATGAGTGCTCACAAGTCTGTGTTAAATGGGTTTGCTCTTTGCAAGCAGCCCTTTCTCTCTGGGTGCCAGAACATTGCCTCACAGCTGCTAATAACCTGGGCTAGAACTGAGCTGGTGATTTATACGGGAAAGGCTTTGTGCCTGCTGCCTTAAGTGCCTGCCTTGCCACTTTGCCTTTCTCCCCGACCTCTCCTCTTATCCCCTTGCCACTCACATTCTGGGTATTTCCAGCTACCTCTGAACGGAGCGTTAATGTAGATAAATATTACTGCGAGGAAGTAATGGCCAAATACTCTCTGCATCATCTATATGCGTTGGTTGGGGAGCGATTTTTCATTTCATACACCATTTGCTATTTCAGCATGTGGCAATTCTGCAAAATGAGGAAGGAGAACTGGAGAGCCGAGGAGCCCACCCTTTGTTCCTGCTGTTCCCACACCCCGAGCACTGGCACACGGCGGCTGCTGGCCTCAGATGCGTTCGGACGAGCTCATGTGAATCCTGTGCTAACCCTGTTTGTCACCCTGTGCGTCTCTTTGCTTCCCATCAGACTTCTTCTCTCTTTTCTCAGCTCAAGCACATCTGTGTAGGGTTAATCCACTTTCCCACCCACCCCTAATCTTCCACCTCACTGTGTTCCGTGTTTTTCAGTGTAATTGGTCCCAGCATATCACACACAACCACCATCCCTCTCCCCTAACTCCAATAAGAGCTCATACACCAGCAAAGTAATCTTTCCCACCTGGGCCACTCCCGTGGTTTCATATCACTTAATCCTCCCTCGTGAGCTGAGGAAGAGTTTAAGGTAACATCTGCTCAGCTTTATATTTGTTGTGTTCGTACCGATGGTCCCTTGGTTCCCATTGCCAAGCAAGTAAGGGGAACGTCTCGGTGAGAGTCCCACATTTTCTGGGAGATAACAAATTCTGCCGGGCGAACCCTGCTATTAGAGACCCCATTAAAATCAAGGACGTAGGTTCAGTAAATTTACTCTTCCAGCCTGCTGTGCTTATTCCGCTTGCCTATTTTCCCCTTGAGTTTCTTCCTGGATTAATTTCCTCCCTGCTCCCTCCCTGTCACTGACGGGCTGTGAGCAAGGAACCGAGCCCCTTCCCCTCATCAAGCCGCAGGCTCGTGCCTTCCTGCAGCTGGCAGCGGCTGCCTGTCGGCCTCGCTGCTCAGCCTTGATGCAGGTCTTCTGCTGGAAGGAGCCACCTTGCTGCTTGGCAATCGCTGCTCCTCAAAATCAGGGAGCATCCTCACGTGGCGCCCCACCAACTCCTCCTGGGAAAGCCCTGGGAGCTACAAAGTGTTTGAGGGACCTGCTAGATGCCAGGGACTTATCTGAAGGTCACCTCCTCTGTGATACTGCTGGTGTGGGGGGAGCTAAGGGATGCCTTTCTGAATAGCTCTCCTCCGTGCTCTCCTATGGCACGCAAAGCTCATTCACCTCTGCAGTATGCTGCTGCGCTCCTTGAAGTGAGCCATCATTTCATTTTCGGTGACTTCCTAATGTGTTTATTCCTTTCTTCCCAAGCAGCAGCGCAGGCATTGCTGCATTTGGCAGAGGAACAAAGCCTCATTGTTCAAAGCCTGCATGCTCCAGCATCAGCTGGGACAAACACGATCGCGCTCCTAGACCTCAGCTTCCAAAGCCAGCCGGACAAAGAGCAAAAAGGCTCAAAATCCCACGTTAGATAAAAAAAAAAAAAAAAAAAAAAAAACACCTCACCTTTATCTCACCTCTAAAGGACTCTGTCAAGCCCAGCTTTTTATCTGTTCTTTCTTTTGTTAGTAACACCTCTTCAGAAGCCCAAATATAGCACCTCTTCTTCTAGTGAGGAAGAAGAGATGTCTACCTGGCCCTGGGTGCTGTGCTTGCTGCTACGTCCTGCTCAGGGACAGCCCCAGGGAGGGCTCAGGGTCAGGCAGCATTGGTTTTGGAGCAGTCACACAAGGCAAACCCAGTATTTTTATTATTATTATTATTATTTTTTTTTCCAGCAGTGTGGCAGAAAAAGCCTTCCCCCAGGCTCTCATCCCTGAGGTTGCAAATACTGAGGCAGGTGCTGGGGGTGATCCCTTGGCTCCTGTGCAGCTCCATCCCGGTGCCCGCCCAGAGATGCACAAGCCTGGGAGGCTGTGGGGGGCTGCTCCTTGTCCTGCTGCTGGGATATTTTCCATGGTTTGTTTCTTCCCCTTCTCTCTGTGCCAGTTCTAGCTGCAAGGTGCCTGCTGACTTCTTGGGAAGCTGTCGGGTGACTTGCTATAAAAAGTGCTCAGGAATCCTGCCCTGAATTTGAGCTGCATTTTTACCTTTTTTTATTTTACATCCCTAGTTTTAATTATACATTTTCTCACACTAAAGAACATTCATTTATCTCAACATCTTTGGGATGATTTGGACTATAATATTTTCCCATTGTCTGTCGCTGCTACAGCTGATGGATAAACAGATATATTAGCCTGAAACTGGCTTTTAATCAACTGAAACAAGCAATGCTAATATAAAATACTTTACACCAATACACAGGCTGATTTTCCTGTCATAAATATGCCTGGAAAAAAGGGCACCTTTTCTGACGTGCTTATCTACACTTCAGAAGCATGGACCTGGTGTTACCTTGTCACTGTTTACCTATATATTTTTTCCCTTTAAGCCAGTCTGCTCAGCCTCCCATTATTCCTGCTGGTTCCTCTGCTCCTCCTGGATCTGGTCTGCCAGTCACTCTGGCCAGGGGGTATCCAAAATGGAAGATTGCACAAGAGTGATGAGACAGTTTCTTATCTCTCTGCCCTAGGATATGTCATGCAGCCCAAAATTGTCCTGAGATTCTTGCTGTTGACGTGACAAATTGCAAACTCACGTCCAATTTCCTGCGTGCTAACCCTGCAAAGTCTTTCACTGCATTTGGGTCTCCTCCTCCCATAGGGTGTCTTAATTTTGGAATATTTCCTCCCTGGACATATTAGTCTGCGTGTCCTTCAATCTAGGGCATTTTCTCCCTATGTCCCACATCTTTCTTTCTTTCATTCCTTCTCTTTCTCTTTTTTTTTTTTTTTCTTTTCTTGTCCTTTTGTGTTATATTCCACTCCTTGCCTGTGATTGCATCCTCCCCAATGTAGTATCAATTGCAGTTTTAATAAACATGCTGTCTAATGCTTTTTCTAGATCATTAATGAAGATGGTAAATAAAACTTGAGCTAACACCAGTTTCTAGTAATAAACCCACTGGATGCCTCCCCGCAATGTGACAGTTTGTCGTTGATCACTATTCATCACTGAGCCTGAACGTCAGTGTCCCTGTGTGGGGTAATTTATATTCATTTAACATCATTCATCACAGAATCAGAGAAAAACACAGCTAGAAGGGACCTCAAGAGGTTGATTTCAGAAATATTCCTGACATTTCCAGCCTGCTCTTAAATACCAGCAAGGACAGAGGTCTCACACCCTTCCTGGGCATTCAGTGCTCTTTAGTCTTCCCATCTTCCAAGTGTCTAACCTTAATCTCTCTTGCTGCACTTCAGGCCTATTGCTTCTTGCCTCCCTCACAACAGATATATTGGGAGAACAGCTTATTCCTTTTTTCTCTGGAGATATGTTTGAAAACATATGGAGATAGACTTGAAAATTGTTGTGTCTCCCCTGGTCTCCTCACTGGAGTAAACAACCCCTGTACAGCTTTCACCAGAAGCCCGGGTCTCCAGACCTCTGATCCTGCTTCCTTCCATATTCTCGTGGGATGGATAAAGATTGCACAGTGCTGGGTAAAGCAGGAGGATCAACCTTGTGCTTTACAGACACAGCTCTTCTTGGTATGCCCTGGTATGGTGCTGGCTTTGTGTGTGACAAAACGATCCTTTTTTTGTTCATTTTGGGTTCCTGAGTTGCTGTGCTGCTCCACATCTGTCGGACAGGTTGTCTCTTGTTTTGTCCCTTTTGCTTTCCTCCTTATTGAATTACATCCTATTTTTCAGGCCTTTTATTTAGCATGTCAGGATGATTTCTAATTCTAATCCTGTTCTCTCACATCCTTGCAGCTCATCTCAGCTTGGTGTCATCTGCATAGCTAATAAGCCTGCTTGTTATTCCATCACCCAGTGGTTAATAAAAGCTGTGAATGAAACTGGAGCAGGCTGGACCCCTGTTGAACCCTACCCAACCCCTCCTTGTATTTTGACGATGCCACTAATTTCTGCGCACAGTTTTCCAACCAACTTTGCCCTCCTGCCCTCAGCTGCTCTCTTCTAGGTGATGTTTCCTCAGCTTGCTTCTGGTAACGTGAGGTGAGACGGTACCAAAGGTCTTACCAAAGCCAAGACGTAAGACCTCCTGCTTTGCCTCTATCCACCAGCCCTGCTGCAGGATGAAATTAGGTCAATTTGACACGATTTGCTTCTGGCAAATCAGAGCTGGCTGTTCCTCTTCTCTTTGTTGTTTCCTAGGTGCTGATGATTAGTTTGTTTAATTATTTGTTCCAGTGCATTTCCAGGAACCGAAATCAAGCTGACTGGCCATAATAACTGCCTTGTTCCTCATTTCACCTTTCTGCAGCCAGCCAGGGAGCTGCTCTGCAAGGAGCCCTGTGCCCCTTGGGGGGTCCCCACATGGGCAGCCCCTTCTCAGGGCTCCTTGGCAGTGGTGGCAGACCGATGCTTTCCTTAGCCCTCCTCTGACCAACACTTTAGAGCTGGAATGCTCTTCTGCTCACCTTTCTGTCCTGAGCTAGTTATGCCTCCTTCCTTTGTCTTTCTCAATTTTATCCCTGCTTGTATGCACTAAACTTTTGTGCCCACCCTTAGACATTTGTGCGTTTCTCTTTGTCCCGGGACTCATTTCCCTGCACTCTTGTACCAGTGTGCTGGGCTGTGTGTGAATATCTGTGGTGCTCAGCAAATCCTCTCAATGGGAAAGTGCAGAAAACAAGTCTGTCAATGAAATTGTGGGCTTCACCCACTTCCAACTGGACTTTCCCAACCTGTGTAGACTTCTTGTTTTCTCTTTGTCTTTTAGCAGAATTAAGCACCGCAAGCCAAATCCTGACCTCATTTACACCAGTAAAATCTGGGTCTGTTCCAGGAAACCACTGAAGTTGTTTTGCGCTTACAGTGATGAAAATGAGAGCGGAATTCGCCTCATTAATTCCCCCAATCCACAGAAAGTAAATGAATCCAAGAGGAAATAGCTCTGCAGAAGGGAGCCCTGGAAAGAATTAGAGACTGACTTAATGGGATTAAGGGAGAAAAACGCTTTAACGAATCCAAATCAATCCTCTCCTCAAAACACTCAAAGTGCCAAAATAAATACAAACACTGTTTTGGGAAGGAAAAGGTTAAAAAGCTATGAAAACAACAGCTCTCGGCCTGTTCTGGTGCAGAATGAGCAGAACCAGAGAGGCTGAGTCAGCAGTGCCTTACCTGACACTCGGTGTTTGTCCGTGGGGCTCAGGGGTGTGTTCCCCACTTTATCCATGGGGGTCCTTTTGCAATTTCAGGTTTGATAAAAGGCACACGGAAACTAGGAAGGAAAACAAGCAGGGAGGGGTGACCAGGTCTGGCAGACGGGAACTTCTCCCCAAGGTGCCTGGCCAGCCTGACATCCAGCCTCTAGAGCCATTCCTCCAGTCTGGGCTTTGGCTTTTTGTTCTCCTGTTAATTACCACCTTTGCACTTTTCTTCATCCTCTCCATACCGTGTACGGCACTAGAGTTGGATGTGCCAAAAATAAGAAATATGTGCAAAATACCCTGCTTTTTTTTTTTTTTTTTTTTTTTTTTTCAGGATGCACCAGGGGCTGTGCACGTTGGCAGCCTGCCTTTGTGCACTCAAGTGGAAGGGGGAAATATTTTGAGCAACCGGCAAGAGCCAGCACCTTCCAGCCTAGCAGGTATACCTGCGTGCTGGCAGCGAGCAGAGCAGGAAGGAGCACACGGCCCACACCATGCCTGTAAGAAACTGCTGGAGGCAAGCAGGAGCTGTTACCCACACGTACCCGCTGCCTGCTTCCAGCTCCCACCAGCGAGTGGCTGTCCCCCTTCGTCCAGCCACCCTGACCGACCCAGCGGAAGAGCTGGAGCAAAGCAATTAGGGAACGGGCAGATTGTTGAGTGGCACGGACATCTCTCCTCTGGTTACACACCGGAGCACACCATTGCCACGGGCAGTCCAATACTAAGGGCACTGACTTGCTGCTCTGGTGATCTGAAGCCCTTTGAGGAGGATCTGGGCTTTATGCAAAGACCCCAAGGTAAGCTTGGCTGAATGAAAGCAGTCAGAGGGGAACTGCAAGAGTGTACGAGGCCCACGAAAAGCACTTCCCATGGTGAGACAGCAGAGGGGACTGATCTAGAGGGTAGCTAACCAAAGAAATCTTTCCAAGATCCTGGTAGACTCTCCAGACGTTGCAGCCTTGCAGCCAAGAAGAGGGAGGGGACTTCCTAACAGATGCGTGGCGGCTCACAGAGAAGTAATGGGCTGCTTCAGAAATGACTGGGGAAGGTTCCCTGGATCCCCTATGCAATGGGTTACACTTGGTGATCATAACGATCTCCTCTGACCTCAGACAATGAATTTCTGACATTCAGCTGTGCTCAAGTGTGGCATTTTATTGTCTAGTAGTTTTGGATCAAAAAATAGCTGTTATCAGTGAATTAAACAGAAAAATTAGCAATGCAGTTGCTCCAGCACCCCTTGTGCTCCTTAATTTGATATTCCTTTATGTTGTGTCCTTAATTTTTTAGTGTGTGGCAGAACTGCGTATTGGATATGCAGAGCCACATTATTGGGGTAATTAAGAGGCAGCTGGAGGGTTTTGGCAGCTGGGAAGGGGACAACAAGCACTCTTGGCTCTTTGGGAGGCAGTGCGGGTTTGTGACAGAGGTACACTGGCTGAATGCTAAGACTGTCAGCAGGGAGAGTCGAAGGGGTTGACAATCCCCTTTGCCTCATCCTGAAGTTAACCACTTCCAGAAGAGAAGAACCGAGAACAGCAAAATAGGAGCTATTGTTTGGCCTGCAGACTGGTAATCTCTCAAATCTTGCAGCAAAGGGTTTTTTTTTCAGTGCAGCTTGGCTGGTTTAAACCCGAAGTATAGCTCCTATTTGCACCGATGGTATTTACAGAGGCTTAAGGCCAAACGCCTGAGGAAAACCCTGCTGCTGCGAGGCATGGCTCGTGGTCTGTGTGTTATAGTGCTTCACACTGGTCTGGAACCAGGGACCACATCCTCAGTGATGCACAGCTGAGGGAGACAGACTTAGCTCTATGCTTTGCCACGAGTCTGTCTTGGGATTTTTGTTCCCCTGGGCAAACCTTAGACACTGCCGCTCTGCTCCTTTGATGCCTGTGAAAGATTAAGCCTAGCAGCCAGCCAGAGAAGGTAGGCAATGCAGGAACCTGTTTTTTAGGAGGGGCAGGAGTGAAGCTGGGGCCGGGGAGGCAGGGCAGAGGTAGTTGTCAGCTGCTCTCAAGAGGATGGGGCCTGCACAGTTAAGTTGCCTCTCACTAGCATTTTCATTTGGGTGGAAGAAACAAATGTCCTGGCCATGCCATGTCGTGGCAGCTCGATGATTTATGCCGTAGAGGAGGGTGTGCAAGCTGGGCTCCCCTCAGGTGCTGCCGTGCTGGGAGGAGATGCAGGTGAGCACCTGAAGTGCTCCAGCCAGCAGTGAGTGCCCAGGCCGTGACGCCAAGCTGGAGCCAGCCACAAGTAAAAGCTCCTGAAAGCACACCAGTGCTGCCCTTGTGCTGCTCTACTTGCTCACACAGACATAGCCTTTACCCCCTGTGACTGTGTCGCAGTCAAAGCACTCTAATGTCACTTGTTTCCCAAGATCATAAGCGATTAAGTCAATTTATATTTCCGAAGGACCCATCAAAGGAGCTGTCTTGGTCATGATGTGATTATCAGGAAGGCCAAAGTCTTTACTCTCTGCCCTGTGACTCCTTGAGGATGTCAGGCTGCCTCTCTGCTGAGAACTAACTCATTCCTTTTCTCTCGAGTTTTTGTATTTTATATCCCTGCTCTGAGCCCAGGATGTGCTAATTTGTCACTAATGGCCAAGGATTAATGTGGGGGAAATATAAAGCTGTGAGGTTACATGACAGTCCTGGGGTTGGTTGTCAGAAGCCACTGTAACCCTTCAGCCTCCTAAGTGAATATTGCCTTATCTGTGATCTCCAGGAGATCTGAAGGCTCAGTAGTAAT